CAGAAACGGAACTAGCATGTAAATACACCAAACCAGTTTACAAAACAAAATATAACAGAAACTCTTGTCAAATACAAAGATGGTTTCGACATGAATACAGGAAAATTAATAATACATTCCATGGCTACATCTCACTCAACCACTGACGAAAACTCATATGTCCCAGTAAAATTTCAAATGAATACAGGAAGAACCGGGGGAAATTTAAAACCACAAGACACAGACAGTACACGCTTACAAGAACTATCACCTATGAACAACACTCATTTTGGCGCAATCCAATATGACATACACTTAGACATGAAATTAGATTACACAATAAGTAGAATCTTTCAAGAAATGTCTTCGACAGAACTTGAAACACTCCATCAATTATGCGAACTTGAACGCACACAAATTTTACAATCACTTGCACTAGCAGTACTAAAAATCCCTTATGCAGGATATTTTTTGTCAGGAAACAGATCAAATTTTATTGACTACGAAGGAAATATATTATAATATTACACCTGTACCAAGAAAGTATCACCTTTACATGTTTTCGAAGACAAAAGATGCTATAAGAGAATCCCACTGTTCTACAAAAATAAAGTTCATTTTGTTGATACACTCTCCTGCAGAACTTATTTTTGGGGTGCAGCAGTCCCATGTGGGTCAGAAAACAGCCACAATGTAGTACAATTAAACCCCGACGAAGATAAATACTATCTTCTCACACCAAACCCTACACTCATGCAACCTCTCAAAAAATTTTCACCAGAAAGCATAAGAGCTTTTGCTCGCAATTCCAATATTGATTTACAATCAATCGGCATTAACACTAAATCAGACATTCAACATCACATTCGAACACAACAATTTCAAGAATTACTCACAAAAATGGACACAATCCAACGACAATCCATAGATCAAAACCTACGCAAACTTGCAGAAACAGCAGGTTTTTCAGACACATACGCACAAGACTATAGCGCATATTTTAAAGATATAAAAAGTTATATTTATTTAAATGGCGAAAAATACAGACCACAAGATATATCACCAATAAATATTTTTAGTTTTGTAAATTTGAAAACGAACTTCTTGCCTTTTTAGGATGGCCCTACTACATCTTAGAAAGATTTACTATAATATACGCAATGTCTAATTTTCTTGGATTTCTTTTCACTCTCATAAAAAGAATATACAATACATGCGCAATTCACACACAAGTAAATAAACAAGCCATTGTAGCACGCATACTTTTCGCAGGATTTTTTGGAATATTCTCAACATCAATCAATAAAATTCTTTTAGAAGCTCAAAAGAAAGAAAACAATACCAAGTTATCAACAACACCAAACACATATGACGAATCACGAAACGATACAAACACAACGCCCACAGCAGCTCATTTACAAAACCTCAACCATAACCACCCCTTATCATTGGTACCACGAAACTTTAGAAAAATTGCCCTATCAGACCTCATAACTTCAAGATCTAATTATCCACTAAGCCAAATCCAACAAATAATAACCAAACAACCCAATATAGACGACACATACGAACAATTTATAGAACAACCACATACCACCAAATTTCGTTATCAGAATAACCATCTTTTTAGCCCACGATGAGCCGCCAAATTGGATCCCTCCATCGATCAATTTCCCACACAGCCAATCTTCAGAATAACTTCCCCATCATCCCACTTTTTGCTTTCCCCCCACCTCAATCACTTCATCCTAACATTTCACCCAGCATGGAATCAGATACTAATTCCAACACAACAGTATATAACACCATCTCCCAATTCAGCAACTCCGATATCGAAACACCCGACAAATTTGCAAACTTTGAAACCAGTCCATCTACATTTTCCCAACCTCCCTTTCAACCTCTCCATTCCCAAGTCAAAATTGAACCTCTTTCCCCTCCCTCTCCCATTTCACATGGCACACCCACATTTTCCCCTCTAACCAGCGAATCATCAGATAACAACGACCAAGATCACACACAAATATCACATGAACTTGATAACTTCATAACACTACAACGACAATTGCAACACTCTCAGACACTAACTATTCACCAATTTTCACGATCTTTAACAGCATCCAACCCATCAACCCCAACCCCCTCTTCAACTTATACACCCTCCCAAAACCCCACTTCCCCATCAACCCCATCCTCTAGTACCAACCGCGCTTACCGAACCTTTAAAAGAAAATTCCCAAATACCCCATTTCCACCTAACCCAGGAACATCCACCACATTTATAAATCATCCACTTCACACTAATTCCAAAGAATTCCTACAAATATGCCTACCCTTTTTCCCACAATATCCATACTTGCATTCCGACCCCAATGATGAAAAGCCCAATTATGGAAACGAGCATGTCTTATATCCCACACTCTCATGAACATCTCATTACCACTTTACTAATATATTAACATTACCACTATATAACACCCCTCATAATAATGAAGTAAGCAGCACCCTACTCAACCTTCTAACAACAGCACTAACCCCAAACCAGTTCACGCAAGTAGGATACAGAGAATCACTAACCAAATTCACTGCACCTAAAGATAATAATTACTCCATGATTATTACGATCATAATATCATCCGATCAAATGAAGACATTTGTTTAAGTAACGACCCATATACTAATCCTCAATTAACCGAAAATTTTTTCATTAAAACCTCATACACCTTCACCCTCAACATCTTAAATAAAAAATACGAACCTTTTTCACATCCCTTTTATTTCCTCACACCCAAAGAACGTGATTTGCACTGATCACACGAAGTCATGTTACGAACTAAACAAACACATACGTACACTTATTAGCAATTTATTCAACATCATTACATTTTCAATACACCAGCACGACAACTTCACCATAGATTTCAATACATTAACTCAAAATACACATCACCGTTTTTTCTTAACTTCACCTATTGTATTAAAGACACTAACTTACAAGGCACGCTCTGAAATTATAATCCAATCACCCAGATGTATATCTTCTGCCCACTAATCAAACTCCTAAACGTAGACGAATCCCGCCCACTAATTGTCCCTCATGAATTCCTTCATTCCGTCGAAGTCCCCATCCTAGATTACATATATAACACTCGCTACAATCACAAATTATATAACCTAATACAAAACACACCGCATGAACAATCACCTCACACTGAAGAACGTAATATCCTTAAAGCACTTGAATTGCTTCGGCCACTTTTGCAAACTAAACACATCATTCGTTTGTTAGCTAAACTACTAACCTCATCTGATATCATCCACGATGTTTTCCCCATGGCTTCTTCACCGACGATTAGCTAATATGAATTCAATATTTCACTAATAAATTCAAAAAACACTAACCATTTATATTCGATGTTTTCTCTTTTTTTTATAGGCACAATCATCAGTCATCTACAAAACAAAAAGCAAAATAAAAAACAGAAACCCTTTTTCAAATCATTAGTTTTTATTAACCTATCCAATAATTGAAGCAATAAAATTATCCCGTACAAAGCAGTAAAATAATATATAAATTCTTTTCCCCAAAGCAATAAGAATTCATAAATTGAAAATTAGCTGATAATTTCAACCCCCAAATCAAGCAGTTAAATTTATAATTTTAAAAGTAGTAAATTAATAAAAATTGTTTTTAAATTGCAAAAGCAGTACTAACATTTTCAAAGACGCTACTTTATTTTCTCTCGTCCAAATATTTTATCCAAATTCGCATTGCTTGCCCACAAAGAATTGTTTGAAATAATGAATTTAAGTTTCAACTTTCACTGATACCAACTTTAACAAATTTAACACGTTTCAAATTTTCTTTTAACCCGGTTGGAAAGGAATTATATAAAAATCCAAACTAACCAACGCAAGCTTACTAAAAACCATAAACCACAATCTAACATCATGACTAAGAAAAGAAAACCAACGGTACCCAAACTGGAATAACAGCAGCTTAGAACTGGATAAATTATTCTTTTAAACACTACTTTTAAGTCTGAACACAAAAGAACAAAACACCAAAAAGTCGAAAGACAAACCCAAAATAAACATTTTGATTTTTGAAGAAAAGACAAACTAAGGCAACAAAAGAAAACAATAGTAATAAAAATGGCATGAAAGGTTAAACTAACACAGGACCCTCCAAGAAGAGAGCACGCAGTTTTACCCTCACTTCTGGCCTAACCCACCAGAAGAGGACGTCCTGAGCATGCTCTATAGCCGGCCTCACCCATCATGCTACATCCACGCTTTGTGACAACCACGACACTGTTTTTGACGAGAGTTACTCAAGTGTGAGTAGATCTTAAAAATAACCGAACTAAATAATAACGCTTTTGCGATAAAAACTAATACAAAGATCATAACTAAAAAACAATTAAACAACTTTTTCAACGCGGCCGGCAACATTTTGAAGAAAAGTATATATTGGAAGATGTGGTCTTTTGAAAAATTTCAAAATTGTTTCTTGAAAAAATTTAGAAAACTTTTAGAGACCTGAATATGGATTTGTAGATCCACTGGTGATCTCCCAGGCAGTTAATTTACTTAAATGTCGTTTTATGAAAATTTGTATTTTTTTCTGCCTTAAAACAATTTATCATTGTTTTTAATATTTTGACCAAAATTGAATGTCGGAAGATAGTACTAAGGGTGGGTTGGTTTGGGTAGTTAGAGGTCGAATTCTTGTAGAGGAGGCGTCAACCCTTCGCTAATCCTCTAAATCAGCCCCTGTTTTTAATTTAACAATTTTTGAACGATCATTTTTAGTGGTTTTGTTTCTATTGAAAATCGACTACCTCAGAAAAAAATTAATTCGATTATTTTTAATCAATCACAAAATTTCTGGCATATGAAAGCTGTTTTTTTTTTGAAAAAATGTAAATATAAAATACTCCGACTTTTTTAATTAAGAAACACGCATAAAATATTTGATGCTAATTAAATTATCAATACGTTGAAAAATTAACATTTACCTGGTATGATAGACAAAGTTCCAAAAACAGCAAAGAAGACTCTCATTTTGGTCTGTACTTCCAATAGAAGTTATAATCTGGTGAACTTCAATCACAATATTCCGTTAAAACAAATCTAGATTTAAGTCAAATCAATTGATATTACATTAAGTTATCAGGTCAGTCCTCTTGTAAATTTGTTTAGCGTGTTAGATAGTAATCATCTACAAAAACAACATTGACAAAATTGTTAATTACTCCATTAACTCGAATAAGGGGTCTTATGCACTTAACGGCCCAAAATGCGTATTTCTGCATCTTGATCTTTGGTCAATATGTGGTTCTGTCCGTGTCTGTACAACACAGTCCCATACAAAACAGTCCAATACAAAACAGTCCAATACAAAACAGTCCGAATAGTATGAAAATGAACGAAAAAACAGTCCGATACAAAACAGTCCAAAAAACAGTCCCAAATAATAATTGTTTTAACAAGCCGGCAGGCCGAGAATTGTCCTTTGTTCAACAAACATAAAGAACAAAATAGTGACCGCCGCAGTCGCGCCAACGTGTTGTGAGCTTGCCAACAGAGGGTAGGACTTAATACGAAATTTAGAGCCACAGGCGACCTTAAACCGGACTATTTTGTTTTGGACTATTTTGTATGGGACTGTTTTGTATATGCAACGGTTCTGTTTGGTTCATTAGCCAATCACATGCAAACATGGCCAAAATGGCCAAAAGGATCAACAATTTTTCGCGTTCAAACCATTTTACTGAATTTTTTTCGTTTGGGTATAATTTCACAAAAACCATGAAAATTTTTTTATTATTTGATTTAGATTCAGATTCTCATTAAGTTCGGCTAATTCTTTTTCTGCTAGAACGGTTGATTGAAATGCCTGACCATGTTGCTTGAACTGGTTTGGCTAATATTAGCCAATCAAATTCTGCCGCATTAGTTTTAGCTAAATGATATAAATATTTCAATTTTGGGCCGTTTTGTGAATAAGACCTCGAATAAGTTGCAGCTTTAGTTATTTGTGAACTCAATTTGCGAATCGTTTTTTTTTTCGCTCTTAAAGGGAGATTTGAAAACCTTCTTACGACCACGCTGTTTTTGGATAAAACTCCGAGGATGCAAATGCTGTGAATTACTGAGGTGGAGAAACGCTCATGATATTACTGGTTTGGCTATAAAATCAGAACTACCTATCTAGAGCTATAAAAACAGGACTACCTAAAATAGAAAAAAAAATGTTTCAGAATCACTGATGTTTTCAGATCATGGATGACCATGAAAACCAAAATTTCAGATCGGAAATGAAGATCAGAAATCGATTTTTCAGATCTGAAACAACCAAAAAAAACTAAATTTTAGATCTTTTACAAAGTCCAAGCGTTGTTTTAATGTTTCGCAGCCCTTTTCAGATCTGAAAACGATTATTTCAGATCTAAATTAGAAGATTTACTAGGTACGGGATTAGTTTATTTGAAATTTTTAGAAAATCGCATGTCAGCACTTGATATGTACAGTGCGCGTCATTCAAAATCCACTGATTCAAAATAACTAAAAAAAAATTGCGACAATGTTAACATTGTCGCAATTTTTTTAAATTAATTTGAATCAGTGGATTTTCAATGACGCGCACTGTACATATCAAGTGCTGACATGCGATTTTATGAAAATTTCAAATAAACTAATCCCGTAACTAAAACAGGACTACCTAAAATAGAAAAAAAAATGTTCAGAATCACTGATGTTTTCAGATCATGGATGACCATGAAAACCAAAATTTCAGATCGGAAATGAAGATCGGAAATTGATTTTCAGATCTGAAACAACCAAAAAAAACTAAATTTTAGATCTTTTACAAAGTCCAAGCGTTGTTTTAACGTTTCGCAGCCCTTTTCAGATCTGAAAACGATTATTTCAGATCTAAATTAGAAGATTTACTAGGTACGGGATTAGTTTATTTGAAATTTTTAGAAAATCGCATGTCAGCACTTGATATGTACAGTGCGCGTCATTCAAAATCCACTGATTCAAAATAACTAAAAAAAATTGCGACAATGTTAACATTGTCGCAATTTTTTTTAGTTAATTTGAATCAGTGGATTTTCAATGACGCGCACTGTACATATCAAGTGCTGACATTCGATTTTATGAAAATTTCAAATAAACTAATCCCGTACCTAGTAAATGCTCTAATTTAGATCTGAAATAACCGTTTTCAGTTCTGAAAAAGGCTGCGAAACGTTAAAACAACGCTTGGACTTTGTAAAAGATCTAAAATCTTGTTTTTTTTGGTTGTTTCAGATCTGAAAAATTGATTTCTGATCTTCATTTCCGATCTGAAATTTTGGTTTTTTAATGGTCATCCATGATCTGAAAACATCAGTGATTCTGAAACATTTTTTTTCTATTTTAGGTAGTTCTGTTTTTATAGCTTCTGCTAGCTGCTGGCAGGTACTTAGCAAAATCTCTCATCGGACACTGCTGAAATATGTTTATCTTACATGGAATAAACATCTGAAAATGCATAAGTAGCGCATCGGAAGAAAAATTTGATAGGTGATCTAACATTTTTTGAAAACTTTTTAAAACAGTTGTAACAGTGATTAAGTTTGAAAAAATGTTTGTGTAACTATTCAGAAGTTTTTTTTACCGGTAATTAGTCTAAATATAACTAAATATATCAAAAACAATGAAAAAAAATGCAAATTCAGTTTTTTGCTCGAAATGCATATAATACAATCTAAGAAAGGGTTTCTTAGATCTAATTTAAGATCTAAATTTTTGTTATCTATATTTATTTTGAATCTGAAAATTTCTATTTGAGATCCAAATTACAGATCTGTAATTTTGAAATTCTTATAAAAGATGTGAAGTAACGTAGTATTAATCATGCAGTGCTCTTCCGAAATTTTAGAAAAACTTAGTTGTTGATCTGTCTAATTTTGTTGATTTTTTCGCTGCATGAATAATTGAGTTTTCATAATTATTATAATAATTGAAAGTCGTTTTGATTTATTCATTAAATTACAAATTTACCAGCTGTCACTTTATTCGTTTTTTTTTTCTATTTTTAGTCGCTGAAAAAATTAGCATCCTTAATGCTTTCGTCTTAACTTTTATTAGCTTAATTGTATATTTAATGTTACGCAATATCAGTCGCTTATTTTACGTCAATTGAAAAACGGCCATAGATTCTTACTGCCAGTGTGTGCTTTGGGTGGAGGTTTGAAAATTTTTGAGTCAATAATTCGGTCTAGACTCAATGGGCGTGCACACAAATGCTGTCGGCTGAATTAATGTTGACTAAACTTGCCTGAAAACTACTAGAACGCTGGTAATTTCAAGATATTTTTTCTTTCAAAAATTAGTTAATTTTTTTCGACTTTTCGAGGTAGATTCTGTCTCCTTTCCAGTCGACTAGCTTGCAATGTTATGGTTCTGCGTGTGTGGCAAATGGTATGAAGCTCTGCTAATTGGTCTATTTTAACTGAAATAATTTCATGTAGTTACCACAAAATTCAAAAGAGTTTTCAGTGATATGTCTTCTGTGCAATTGAAAAAATAATTGATTATTTTTTTCACTTTCTTGATTTCGCTGGAAACTATTCACGTCTTTGGTTAAATTGGTCAAACATGAAAATTTATGCTCATTTTTCTAAGGTTGGGATGAGCGTAGGCTTAAATGTGACGAAAATAATTTTCGCTGAGTCTTATTCAAAGTTTTTTAAGAATTTTGAAAATTAACGAATTATTTAATAAAACAAAAGCTCAAAAAACATCATTCTAACTAGTTTTTCAACGTCTATTGACACTTCATCCATGAACGGAAATTTCTAAGAGATCCCCGGGTTGACCTCCATAGACCGAAAACGCTAATCATACAACTTCATACTATTAGTCTATGGAAAAAATGCTAGTCATACAAATTTCATACATTTTTGCAAAATGAGTTAAATCGAATTTCAAAGGTATTTTATAGTGTTTTGGTATCGAAATTGGTATCTCTTCATAAAAAAAGGAAAAAAATGGTATGAAAAAAAATGCTAACCAACTTTGACTTTTTTTTATTTTTGTTTTCTGAAAAGTAACACTAGTCATAAAATTTCCACATATGGAAATTGTATGACTAGCGTTTTTTTGATGGTGACGACAAAAATTTTTCTTGAAATTGCCCCCAAAAAATTTTTGTTTTTTTTTCAACTGCAAATTGATTTTCGTTCAAACAAACATTTTTTGAAAAAAGTATTTTTGTATTGATGCACTGCAGAAGAAATGGATAGAGTTCATTGTGTATTTTCAAGTATTTTGTATTTTTCAACACTTGAAAAAAGTGTATTTTCAAGTATTTTTGAAATTGCCCCGAAAAAAATTTTGTGTTTTTTTTCAACCTCAAATTGATTTTCGTATTCAAACAAACATTTTTTGAAAAAAAATTTTGCATGCAAAATTTAATTTTTTGTCTATAACGTAGTCCTGGATATACTAATATTGGATTTTTTTTCATTTTCTCCCCATAACTTTTTTCAAAAACGCTTAAAACTCCTCTTTCTTTTGTATGACATGTTTTTGTTTGCCTTGATCAATGTCTGGTAATTTAAAAATTCAAATTTTAGAAATAATCATCTTTGAAAATTATTGCCAAAATTTAAAAGTTCATTACTTTCGTTATATTATTTGTCTGAGACAGGAGTAAGTCATATCTGGCTGTTTCCAATGCATTTTTAATGCGAGACGGCCAAACCGTTGGTTACCACATTTGAGTAATCAAGTTTTATGTCATGTTTTACGAACACAACCAAAAATTTTGAGAAATTAAAATGTAAAAAAGCAATATTTTTTGGTTTATGGAAAAATGCTACTCATAGACCTTTCATGCAATTTTCTGTACGTATGGAATTGTATGGAAAGTGTATGACTAGCATTTTTCCATATATGGAAATTGTATGACTAGTATTTTTGGTCATCCCGGGTCTGAAGAAAAAAGTGGAAGAAATGAATAACTAAATGAACTCTATCCATTTCTTCTGCAGTGCATCATTCAAAAAAGATAAGCGACTAGCCTCCTGAATTTTTGTGGCACCTTCTTTTGACTAAAAGTGATAAGATCCTCACCTTCGATTGTTGGAACAACAGTTTGCCTAAGCTTATACTGTCATTGAGAAAAAAGAATGAGATTTTGGA